GGGACTACAGTGATGGCACATGGGTGACTCGGTGATGGGAAACCCACGGGGATTACAATTGAGATGAAAAAAACAAATGTACAAAATGCTGTAAAAAAACTGTTATATTATTTTTAAAAAAAGAAAAATTACTCCTGTAAATAATTTTGAAGAACCTCAAGAGGTCACTTATTTTTGACAATATCACATTTTTGGGTGATAACATACAGAGTAGTGGTACTCTTAAGAATAACAGGACAGGGGCTCAGAAAGAACTTCTTCAGAAGAAAGCAGTACTTAAAAGTGCAAACTCTAAAGTCAAGCTGAGCTGACCTCATGTAGCTCTCATTACTTAAAAGCTTTCTGCATTTGGACAATTTACATAGGCTAACTTTACCATAATCTTCAAATCTGTATGATAAGGACAAAATACAGTAACTATGTCATGGGGCTACAAGAAAACATGAGTTGCTGTAGACAAGGTGGTCAGCAGGGCCTTGGTACACACCAAACGCTAAATGTTTGCTAGCTGATCTCAACAGCATTATCCTTGTAATTAGCACTATGGAATACCAAAGGTCTAACCTTGTGATGTGATAAAAGCTGTTATTACCAGACTAATGATCAAGGCCAGTCTGAAATTATATATAAATAATAATATTACCCATTTAATCAATGAATCATTCCCTGATCTAAAATGCTATAATAATTAACAATGTATTTAGCAGTTATGCTTGTTCATATTTTACTTTCTCAGAACTCCAAAGTTCATTTAAATTTGGTGCATTAATCTATTGTGTTCAAGCTAAAAGTACAACAAAATAAAATCACACAATGTAGCTTTCATTTCCTGGAATAATAATTTTATGCAAGTAAAATTAAGATAGACAAGTGTCTCATATATTAGAAAACGTGCTATCAATATTAGACAAGAAATCACATTTATTTTCCTTAACTATTTTTCTTTAACAATTTAGAAAATCAGCGCTATATTTTTATGGCTCATTTATTCGTGTATCACCTGATTCTTCAGCTGGTTAAGAGTTTGTCTCAAATTATCCGTTGTTGTTTGGTTACTTTTAAAAAACTCAGCTACTGCTGTATTCAAAATTATTTTATAATCATCTTTGTTTATATCCTGTAGGCAGGCAAGGTGTTGCAGACAGGTGTCATAATTTCCTGCCTAAAATGAAAACACATACACAAGCAAAATTACATATGGGCTTTGAGAATTATACGCGCATTTCCCATCTTTATTTGAAAAACTCTTCTAAAAAAAGACAGTGATCACTCTAATCAATAGTATCAATTAAGAAATCGTGGTGTCATATTTGAACTAAATTGGGGGAAAATTATATTTAGAAAATTATGGAAAGAAATTATGGTTATTTATTTCTTAAATATCAAACTCCAACACTGATATATGTATATTGCATCTATTAAGACACATCAATAGATACATAGTGGTATGTAAAATACCTCTAAATCTAATATATATTACAGTGATATATTATAGGTATATATTGCAAACAGGGTATAATAGATGAATCAAGAAAGATAATATGACTAATTACTCCAAATTTTAATTTCCAATAAATATACATCAAATACACACAAATAAAGCTTTTCCACTTACCTACATATAGTCTGATAATAAAGTAAGATTTTCTTTTATATTGCTTGACAGAGAAATTATACTTGAGAAAAAGTTTTGACTGACTTTTTGAAAGTACATTTAGAAGAACTGAAGAGAAACGAAAAAACTGATCCAGATATTTATAAATCTCATTTTTAAGGGACTTAAAAAAAACAATGTGAGAGTTAGAACATGTTTATGAAAACATAAAAACCTGAGAGAAATTCAAAGTACTTCCATTTCTTTCACATTTAAACTCTAAAATGTTACTTTTTACTTTAAAACTGAACTTACTCTTGAAATTTAATGCTTGCATTATTACAAAACAAACATTATAAATTAAAAAATTCACTGTGAAATGACTCATACTTGATAGATCCTGAAAAAGGAGGTAGAGGAACCAATTCTCACCGTGAAGGCTTGGAAAGCACTGGAGGACAACTCCTTCTCCTGATCCGTGATCCCAGAAGACTGACCTGTCCCTTCATGTTTCTCTGCTCCCTGATCTGCAAAAACACAGTTTTACAGTTTTTTATAAATAAAAGCTATGCAGTGAATGTGTCCTTAGTTTTCTTTTTCTAATGAAGATGCTGAAACTAAAGCTCTTTCAGAGCTAGTTAGTGTTATACTCCTCCAAAATGCTAAAAGAAATGTTTCCCTTGGCTGTGGTGAAGCACAATGAAAACCCCAACCATCTCCTGTGTAAGGATTATAGCTTTGTCCATCAGGATGTTGTGGGCTCTTAAAATATTAGATCGCCTCTCCCCATAGAATATTCAAGTACTATGCCAGTCTCCAAAAATACAACAAAACTAATTTGCTGATATAAAAGCTTCCCCAAATTTACTGCATCATTATTCACAATAACCAAGAACTGGAAACAACCTAAATATCCATCAACTGACAGATGGATAAACACTACACAGCAATGATGAAATCCTGTCATTCGCGAAAATATGGATTACTTAGGGAATATTATGCTTAGTAAAAGAAGCCAGGCAGTGAAAGACAAAAAACAATTTCACTCATAGGTGGTGTACATATGTATAGAAATGAAAGCCAAACAAATCAAAGTAAAAATATACTCTGGATTATGAGAACACTTGGTAGTTACAAGAGAAGAGGCAAAGGGGTGGTGAGTAAGCAGTGACAAAAAGAAAAACAGAGAAGGATGGAATGAAATGTTCCATATTATGCAATATTACTTGATTTAAAAAACGTGTAAGTTAAATAAGGAAAATTTTATGTGATATTGTAAGAAATTACAGGAGGAAAGGCTCCAAATGAAGATAAAAAATAAAGGTAAGTTCAATATGTATGTATGTGTTACTTATTAGTAAGCTATGATTCCTAAACTCATTTAAGCTCCTTATATAATAGCTTTCAGGTACTTTAGCAACACTCTCTCCAGTTACTACTCTTAAATTCCTTCCACTTCCCATTCACCAAAATTATAAAGGTCTTTTAAAAAAGAAAACAAACAAAAAATTGCTTTGGGCCTAGCTCAAGGAGACATCTGGCAAATGTCAATTAAAATAGTTTTTTCCTTATGAGGTTGAATAAGGAAACATGAATACATGTTTGGGGGAAACGCTATACATTATTTCATGTCCTTTTCAGCATACCAATAAACAAAAATTGATTCCTAAAAGGGAGGAGGAAAATTAACATTTTAATGGAGAAATTTACCAGTTTTAAAAGACAGTGTTAAACAGCTTTCTCTATAAAGAAAGCCAGTAACAAAAAAAAAAAGAAAAAAAGTAACAATGAGTTTGCCTACATGACTGTCCACTAGAGTCAACATAACCCACCTGTTCTGCAAAATTTTTAGGTACATAATGAAGTAAGGACCAATAACCTTAAAATGTTCAAAATCCCTGGTGGCACAGCGGACTGGAGCGCTGCACTGCAAAGCTAAGCCTAGCCATGGTGACTTCAGTGGGAGTTTGATCCCTGCCTGGGAGGTGACCCACATGGTGCAGCAGACCTCTCGTGTCTCACCTGCTGCTCTCTTCAGCAATGTATTTCAGTCAGTCCGTCTATACCCCACTCTGTCTCTGATGAGTCCTCTCACCCTTGTACCTCTGGCCTGAATTCCAGTTCTTTCATGTATGCATAAATAAAATCTTTAAAAAAAGAATATATATATTTTTATAACTGCTAGCTTCTTACCAGAAAGCATCTGTACATAATTCCACAATGTGTCTTTATTTGACCAAAAGTAGTCTCCATTGCCAATTGAAAGAGTATATGACCGGTCATCCATCAGTTTGACCTTCCTTCTAGTCTGGGCCAGGGAACATGGCTGACCTTCTAGGCGTACAGAATTCTTAGATGCACAAACCTTGACACTCTTTAGGCCAACAGGCTTCATTTCTAACCAAACAAGTGCCTTGAGGTTTGAATGAAGTAGAAAAGAAACACACTGCTTTCCAAAACTGAAAAAGTTCAGTTAACGGAAAATCCAGACACATTCCAATACAGAATGTTAACAATTCAAATTTGATTGGAGGAGAAGCTTCCATATAAGCTACACTTTTCAATGATATTCAAGAATTTTTTTCCAAGAGAAACACCAAAACATTAAGGCTTAAAGAAATCTGCAGCTACACACAGAAAATACTAAAGATACCATATAGTTGAGGTGCTCACACACTGCATGTGGTTTTCCATCCTTCAGTAATGTACCTGACCTATCAAAACTCTTCATGAGGACCTTCTATGGTGGTGTAAGGGGGCTAAGACCCTCTTATATAGTAGGTGTGCTCAGGTCTTTTACTATGAAGCTAACCACAGCCACTGCAGCATAAGTTCTATCTCCGTCCAGGTTGGTGACGCACATGGTGCCACAGACCTGTCCCGACCTCTGCTCCCCTCAGCAGTATATTTTAGTACATCTGCATGTTCTGCTCTCCACTCTGTCTCTGGTGGATCCTCTTATCCCCTGCACTTCTGGCCTGTACCCAGTTCTTGAATGTATAAGTAATTCTTTCTAAAAAATGATAGGTCTTAACAACACTGGTTGTATTATCTAGGAACACAAACCATTTAATTCTTCCTAAAAAATGATAGGTCTTAACAACACTGCTTGTATTATCTAGGAACACAAACCATGTAATTCTTCCATGCCCCTTTTATCTCTGTTGCTCCCATCCATATGGGACACCCTCCCCTCTACAACTTGGTTGAAACACAACTTAGGGTATGAGAACTGTTAGTTGGTCAGTGACTTTGTAGTCATGCAATTTAGGAGTACAGGTTAATTAGTTCCCCATGGCGTAAGCCTCAACCAACTCAAAAATAGGAAATGGAAGGAGCTAGACAGATAAATTAATCCTTCTTTCTTTCATATATATTATCTAAAGTGGGATTACTCCTAAAATCCCTTTCAGAAAAACCCCATATGCAAGTGACTTGACAGGTCTTCACAGCTCAAGGTGGAATAGTATCCAGGGTTGTAATTTGTTGCATCCTCCTTTGCTTTACTTCTGTCTCTCCCTCATTTCACCACCCTGAGCTTGCACCTTTCCAAAGAAAGTGTCTTGAGTTCTATTTCCCAGAGAATATATTTTATCTCATCTTGAGTTTTGCCTCTCAGAGAATATGGGCTAATGTATATATTTTACCTCACTGAGTCTCACAACCTACAACTTTGTGGGGCAAATAAAGTAGAATGTTATTAGTACCTCCAATCACAAAAAGCCCCAAGATTCATCTTTGCCAAGGAACAAGTCTTTCTGCTCACCCACTAGACAGTCACCAAATTCTGCTAATTTTACTTACTCCCTAAACATTTCTCACATCTGCCTCTTTTCTACATCTGGCAGAAGAACTATTAGCCAGCATTTTGAAAAACCACTAGCAGAGATGATCTCATTTTACCTACCAACCTGTGAGGTAGAGAGTTTTATTACTCTCTTTCTACACACAGGAAAGCTGAGACCCAAAACCTTAAAATCTGAAAAAGTCACAAAATTACCAAGTGGTACACCTAGGGTGAACCTAGCTGATCCCAAATTAGGCTCCTAACTGTTCAACAATTCTCACCTAGATCAGTGACATACATGAGACAACATCATTCCCTTCTGCACTCTGCAGTGGCTTCCCGTTAGTTGGGATGAATTCAAACTTCTTCCTGGCTTACAAGCCTGACACAGGCTGGCCCCCGCCACAACTCTGGCTTCCTCTTTTGGCACGCTTCCTCTCTGCTCACTAAGCCGTAGCATGCAGTGAGTGCCTCCACACCAGGGCTTGGAGGTGGAGCAGACCAAGGTCTAAAGCAGACCAAGATCCTTTCTTCAAGGTGTTTATACTCAAGAGATCTTATTGCTGTTCTTTAAATATTTTGCAATATTTCCAGACTCCAAACGTGTACATTTCTCATTCCACCAACCTGGATCATTTTCCCTCCACACAGTTGGTTCTTTATTTTCAGGGTGTCTGTTCAAACATATCTCTAAAATTAGAGTCTTTCCTTTGCTACCCAATTTATTCAAAATAGGATCCTTACTTCTCAGTTTTCCTCCATCATATTATAATTTTTTCCCCTTCACAATAGTTATTGCAACTTGACATAACAATTATTTCTTGTTTTGTTTACATGTTGGTCTTTCATACTACAAGATAAGTTCCATGAGGATTGAAATATTAAAGTAACTGGCAGAATATCTTATTGGTATTCACTGACTAAATTAATTTCATTTCACAGCATTAGCTGGTCTTGGCTAGTCTCTGGATTTCTCCTTCTGTTTCACTTAATTCCTCAACCATAGTAGGTGTGCTTAGGTCTTTTACCATCTTAAATGTTTCCATGGACTTCTTAACTAAGAGCAAGTACACAAGACCCTGCATGACAAGGAAACTGGCTTCAGGAGCTCAGACATGAAGCATGTAAATTAGATTTGGAATGAAGTGAGCACTTGCCATAGAGAAGAGGAGGAGGGGCATGACCTCTCAGGAGTGCTCAAGGAGCACAGAGCTTTCCAAATCACATCTGGTAGAGTTAGATGTATTGCCAGAGAAACGTGAGCTGGAAATAAGTTTGTGAAGAGTCTCAAAAATGATTCTAAAGAGTGAGGACAAAGGGTTGTCCTTAGAGAGTTTACAGACAGGGAAATTGTATGATACAATTAGTAATATAGAAATAAAACAAAAAGGCAGCACCAAGAAGAATGGACTGTATAGGAAAAAACAAACATCAATCAGAAAGATGCTGACACTGCATGGGGTTTAAGTCTCAGTGCCAGCACACTCAAGGCCCACCATGATGGCCTGAGTTCAATTCCTGACCAGGAAGCTGACCCACATGGTACAGCAGAATCCCCTGATCACCCGCTGTTCTCCTCAGCAGTGTATTTCAGTGGTTTTACCTGTTTTGCTCCCCACTCTGTCTCTGGTGATTCCGCTCACCACCACCCTTCCATCCCTGCACCTCTGGCCTATACCTAGTTTTACAAAAAATAAATAAAGTGAATAAAAATTGTACAATAAAGAAACAATTCTTTTAAAAAATGTTGGGCCCACCCTGGTGGTGCAGCGGGTTAAAGCACATCACTAAGAAGCTAAAGCCACTTCAGCATGAGTTCGATTCCCGCCCCAGAGGTGATCTACATGCACCGCAGACCTCTCCTGACCCACCTGCTGCTGCCCTCAGCAGTGTACTTTGTCAGTGGGCCTGTTTCGCTTCCCATTCTGTCTCTGGTGAATCCTCTCACCGCCCCCACACCTCTGGCCTGTATTCCAGCTTTGTATGCATAAATAAACAAATCTTTTAAAAAAATGTTAACAGTGATACTGACCACATTAAGTAATTGAAATCAACCTCGTTAGAAGATAACGGTCAGAATCATAGTAGTAGACTCAAAGATAGAGAAAAAGAGTAGAGAATCAAAGGAGTAGCATTAAACACTACTTCATAAAGATTCAACCTTATTTAGATAAGAAATTTCATTCAACTTGGTTAATAAACTTAAAACCAAATAAAAGCCACTCCCACCTCATCACTCTAGGTCTTACTCTTCTAGTACAGATCTTACTTATTCATTGGGAGTGCTATTGTGGTCTGTCTCTTAACAGAACAATTAGCAGCTCCTCAAAGGCATAGACTGTTTCATATCCATTTCTTCAATAATCAACAGTGTCTGGTACCTGATCTTTGAACAAATGCATGAACAAGTAGAAGGATGCTTTCTGAACAAGGAAGAGGGTATTAGGTCTACATAGGTTATTCTAGGCAAGTGCAATGGGATGGGTAAGTAGAATGGTAAATCTGGAAACAGAGTCCTAAATTAAGAAGGAAAAAGTCAGTCCCCTTATCTAGTCCTGGTCAGGTGAAGCCTGGCAATTTCTCCCCACCCACCACTCCCGACTTCATATAGCTCACTCACTTCATTCACGAGTTGGCTCAAATAACACCTCACTGGAGGTTTTCCCTGAACATTGTGTCTAAAATTCAGTTTGCTCTTACCCTCACCTTCTAACCTTTTCCTTGTTGTTTTACTTCTTAGCTGATTACTGAAGAGATAGTCTAAGAATTTTGTTCATTTGTACCTGTACCAGGATTGGTTCATTTTAATTTCAAATCAAATCAAATTATCCATCAGTTACTGAAATCAGAACCTAAAACCTACTGCACACTGCAACTTCACCCCTCTTCCTTTAAAAAAAAAAAACACCTAATTTTGTTATACAGAGTCTAAGCATTGACCACTTCTAAGTCCTGTCATTTAAGTTCTTTCCAATAAAACCTGGAGGTCACAAAGAACATTAATTTCTCCCAGGAAATGTCTATCAGACCTTCCCAGGAGGTAGGGAAGAAATTTATATTTCTTAGTAGAGATTCTAGGAATAAGGCAGTAATCCATAAAGATAATAATTAAGATTAATCTTCAGGCATTAGGGGAAGATAGATTCTATACACAATGTATTAGAAGAAAGGACAGGTAAAACAGTTATTTTTCTGTCCATTTAAAATATGTTGCTTAGGGCCCACCCTTGTGGTGCAAGCGGTTACAGGCACAGCAACACGAAGCTACCCACAGCCACTGCAGCACAAGTTCAATCCCCCAACAGAGAGCCACAAGGCACAGGGCACCTCCCTTGGCCCTTCTGCTGTTCCCCTCAGCAGTGTACTTCTGTAGATCTACCTGTTCAGCTCCCCACTCTGTCTCTGGTAAATCCTCTCACCCCCCCGCACCTCTGGCCTGTATCCCAGGTCTTGTATGCATAAATAAATAAATAAATAAATAAATAAATAAATAAATAAATAAATAAATAAATAAATAAATAAAATTTTTAAAAAAGTGTTGTTTATTCAAAGTTAATTACAGAGGACGTCGATGACCAGAGACAGGTTGATGTGGCCGAAAACAGCTCAGGTGAGTGAAGCCTGAGCCAGGGGACGTTAACAGAACTGTGCGCTCCTAGGTGAACTTTCTTTGCTCGGCCTTTCCCATTGCTAAGTTGAAAAGTGCAAAGCGGCTCAATAAATGTAAGTGATACTGTGGGGCGAGGGGCCGAGGCAGTCAGTAGAGGCTTCATGATGCACTTGGGTAGCAAAGTATAGGACCTGGCGCCTAAAGCCTTACATTAGTGACCCCCAAGAGAGGGGATGCGGGAGAGCAACCAACGCGCGTCCACACTAAAATCACCCTCGAGTTCCCGACCCTTCAGTCTCCACCGGGACCTCCCACCATCTCCGCGCACCGGGTCTGCCGCCCCAGCGCTCGGGACAGGGCGCCTCACCTGCAGGCTTGTCTGCAGCCATCTTCCCACCTCGGCTCGGGTTCTTCCCTGCAGGTGGCGTGGTCCCTATTTCAGCAGCCCGGCTGGTCGCTGTCCTGGACCTCGGAGGACGATCCTGTGCCCACCCTGGCTCCCGGGCCCTGGGTTCCGGCCTAGGGAGTAGGCAGACGGCGGGCTGAGGAAGTGACGAAGGCTAGCTCGCGTCGTCTAGCAACAGAGGTAGCGTCCCTGCCGGGACAGCCCCACCACCGCCCGCCATCCGCGGCTTCCACCCTGCCACATCCCCGTACACACTACTTCCGGGGGCCATGGCAGGCGTGGGAACCGCGGCTGGCCCCGCCTCACGCTGCGTCCTCTCCGTGTCCCGCCTCTGCGGCGCGTGCGCGCGAGTCTGGCCCGACGTGCGCGGGCGCGTGGCTGGGCGTGCGCCTGGCGGCCTGAAGGCGAGGTGCGAGCGATTTCCTTGGGCTTAGCCGGATTAAAATACTTACCGTCAGCGCCTCTTCCTTCACATTTCATAACGTCCCAACAGCACACCTGACAATTTTGTACTATTTTGAGCCTTACACTTGGCCTGTTCCCTCGCTTTGATTTCCCACGACTCCATTAGGAGGCTTTGCTGCGGTTCCCTGTTTCAAAACAAAACACTTTAGAATGACTATAGCTTTCCAACAAAATGGTTGGAAAGATGATAAGGTTCCTGTATAGGCCTCACCCAGTTTGCCCTGTTGTTACTATCTTAATTAATTACTAATTTACAGGCATATATCTGTCAATCCAAGAAACCACTTCCGTACATTATGGACCCTATCTTTAGATTTTATCAGTTTTCTCCCAATGCTGCTTGCTTGTCCCAGGATCCTGTCCAGGATACTACATTTATTCGTCATGTCTTTTTTGGCCATTCTTGATTATGATAGTCTTTCAGGTTGTCCTTGTTCTTGATGACTTGTATGGTTTGAAGAGTACTGCTTAGAATTTTTGAAGAATTTGTGTTTGTCCTCTTTTCTTTTTTTTAAATGATTCGATGGGCCCTTCCCTGATGGCTCAGCGGGTTAGGATGCAGCACTGTGAAGCTGATCGTGGCCAGTTCTTGTATGCATAAAAAATATAGTTTTTTAAAAAAGAACAGTGTGTGGAAAGTAACAATGAGAAATCTGGCAAAGTTTCCCAGAGAGGTGATCAATGTTAACACCATCAGTGATGTCATTTTGTTTGTTTGTTTTGAAGATGTATTTATTTATGCATACAGAACTGGGATACAGGCCAGAGGTGTGGGGGATTCACCTGAGACAAAGTGGGGAACAGAACAGGTGAATCTACTGAAATACACTGCTGAGGGGAGCAGTGGGTGAGACAGGAGAGGTCTGGTGAGACAGGAGAGGTCTGTCTGCTGCGCCACGTGGGTCAGCTCCCTGGCAAGGGTTCAAACTTGAACTGCAGTGGCTGTGGGTAGCTTCATAGAGCTGCATCTTAACCCCCTTGTGCCACCAGGGAGGGTCCTGCTACACTACTTTAGAACTGGCCTCCAAAATGTCCTTCAGAGTCCTGTGTTGTCTAGCCTTTTCGCATCTATGTGGCTCACATACAAGTTCAGATCTCTGTAACTTGACTTCCAGCCCCCAACTTGAAAACATTAATCTACCACTGACCACTAGGTGGCACCCTATCACAAATTATACTACTTTCAGGGAGCGCGTTTTACGACAGCTTTCTTTGTTTAAAGATACCTGATCTGATCAGGGTACCTGCTTCTAGAGTGTCAAATTTAAATATTGTGAGTCCAGCCCCAAGATGAATTTAAAGAATTTGGTTGCACGATACACACAAGCAACCACAGAGTGAGGCTGGCTGAAGTCCTGTGCTATTTCTCTGTCCAATCTGTATTTGTTGGCTGCCCATCTATTAGCGGCTCTCTTTCTGATGCTTCAATGGCTTACTTCTGTTTGGACTCCCAGATACCCCAGTGCATGCCAATCTCATGTCTTTTCTCCTCAGTCCAGCTGCTTTTGCTTCAGAACTTTCCACCTTTCCTTTTCATTTATCTATAAACAGAAAGAACAATAGGATCACAAATCCTTTTCATACATGGAGGTCAAGGTCACCTTATTTATAGCAAGTAGACAAATGGAAATCGAGAGCTCTTATCAAGTGGGGAACTTTGATTGTTCTGACTCCTTGTTCCTGTTCAACTTCCTTTGGTGATTGTAGCCATAATCCATGCAGTGGAATCCCACATGCAGCGCACCTGGCTCATTGTAGCAAATTCTGGGAAATTCAACCCAACTCTCCCTATGATTTGTTACAGTGTTCAAACAAACTGACTTGCTATTTCATTTCCTGTCAT